GCTTCATCTTCTTTGTTGCCTTTAGGGGTAAAACAGACCTGGGTTCCCCCATCCTCCCTCCTCAGTCACAGCCCCACCGCCTCACACGGCTTTTCAGCCTGTCACCCTCTCCCACCCGGTCACACCACGGGGCACCCTCAAGCCACTCACTGTTCGGGTGCTGAGACCTGGGCTGCAGGCGGGACAGGCACCCACCCCCCAGGCGGGAGGGCGAATGAGGTGAGGCCGGTTGAACTCTGGAAGCAGAGAGGATTCCGGGAGGCAAGGAGGACCCAGTCACCGCCTGTTGTGATGCAACCAGCCTCAGAGACACCCTGCCCAGCAGGGACGCTGCTCTGATGTCAGGTCACCCAGCACTGGAGCCTCTGATGCTGTGAACACACTGCAAAGGCCAAATTCACCACCAGGAGAAAGACGCTGGAAGTCAAGCTCCAACCAGTGAGCACAGGGATAATGCGCCTCTCCTGGGCTCTCATGGGCTAAACCCAGTCATCCTTAGCGCATGGCCCTTTGGGTAAATTAGCAATCTAGCCTCCCATGTGGCACTAGGATCCCAGTCCCTCTCTGACCATTGCAAATGTTGTTCTGATCCTGGTTGTCCACACCAGCCAAGGTGACCTCGGAAATGCTCAGGGCAGGCTCCCCACAGGCTGCCATCTGGAGTCTGCCACCCCTTCCCACACTTCCTCAGGGGGACAACAGTGACCACCCCTGGCCTCACTTTTCCCCTGAGCTCTTATCACCTGTCACAGCTACCCTGCCCCCTTGCTTGTGGGCTGTCCTTCACTAGAACAACCATCCAGCCTGATTCAAGGTCTCATCACTAGCGCCACCCCTCAGCCCTCCCACTCAAGGACGCTGCCCCATGTGCCCATAGGAAACTCCCTCACCAACCTGTCCAAGGCCCCCAACCTCACAACTCCAACAACCACACACCCCAGCATCGCACTGTCCCCCAGAGCCCAGGGTCCGTCACCTGACTACAGGGAAGGGGTCTGCTCTGCACAGGCCAGAATGAGCGAGGTGGGCACACCAACCACAATGCACCCCCCCAGTGTGGAATCATGTTGAGACCAACCCTCTCCTGCTGGGAACGGTTGCATTGCAGAATGTTCTCAGCATTGAAAATACACAGAACCAATTCCTGGAAAACCCATGTGACCTCTAGGACTGCAGGGAAGTGAAGGTGAGGAGGGTGTGTGCTTTATTTTCAATAAATTCAAAGTAGAAAATTACCCCAAAAATGCAAAAATAGACTCAAAGAACACCAGTGGGTCTCAGGGGTGTATGTGAGTTGGCCAGAGGAAGACTTTTCCTAAGGGGAACTGATGTGGGGCCCAAAGCACAAGGGGGCTTCTCCCAGATAAAGTAGATTCAGATCCAGCGGTCCAGGGGCCTGGGGATGGGAAAGCAGGCTGGAGAGACTCTGGATGGAGACAGCAGAGCCCTGGAAGCTCCTCTCAGGTGGACACAGAACCCCAATCCCTCCCAGGGACCTGCCTCGGGCTCCTCTCAGCCAGTTCCTGGCCAGAATTCAAAGTAGAAAATTACCCCAAAAATGCAAAAATAGATTCAAAGAACACCAGTGGGTCTCAGGGGTGTATGTGAGTTGGCCAGAGGAAGACTTTTCCTCAGGGGAACTGATGTGGGGCCCAAAGCACCAGGGGGCTTCTCCCAGATAAAGTAGATTCAGACGCAGCGGGCCAGGGGCCTGGGGATGGCAGAGCAGGCTGGAGAGACTCTGGATGGAGAGAGCAGAGCCCCGGCAGCTCCTCTCAGGCGGACACAGAACCCCAATCCCTCCCAGGGACCTGCCTCGGGCTCCTCTCAGCCAGTTCCTGGGCAGGACACAGCGTGCCCAGCTGCAGGGGGAACATCACAGGCAAAGGCAGGAAACAATAAGGGAAGGAGGGCTGTGCAGGCAGAGCCTCATCTTAGCAAGAAGGGAGCAGGGTAGATAATCTTTCTTTAGAGAGAGAGTGGGAGGGGAATGAGAGAGAGACAAACACAATGACCGGATGCCTCCCACACCAGCCGAAATGGAGGGCTGGGGCTCAAACCTGCAAAATACAACCACAAAGTCATGCGGTCTTTATTTCAAGGCCTTGGGCAGTAATGCAAAGAAAATTGGACAGAGGAGGCTTTTCTGCCATCAAGCTATCCTGTCTGAAGCACAGAATGTTTGAGATCCCCACAATATCTGTTCACTCTACATGCTGACAGATCACAATTGTATTTTCAAATTAACCCAGACAGTGGACAGAACCAACAAAATTAAAGGTACAAAAGCAAAATCATAATCACAAAAAACACCATATACCAGAGCATGTAGAGTAATCAGTTTATAACAATTTATCACAGCAGAAGGTGAGAACCACAATGTCCCTGAAAGTGGTAGCACTTCTTAGCTGAGGATGGGGCCTCTGGACGAATCCTGAGTCAGGTGCATTTCCTAGTCAGAGAGTAAGGATTGAAGATCCTGCCAAGAGCTCAGAGTGTTCATAATTCACTTAAGCACAAGGAAGAACATAGAATACATTTTCCCTGAGCACCAGGGGTGGTGACTGATGCACACTGTTCAGGTGAGCCAGGTGGTAGAGGAGGTCACTTCAGCCACAAATACTCACAGTGACATCAATGAGGTAGGAGTGCCTGGCAAGTTAGGAAGTGCAATGCAGCTCCTTCAGGCCTCACTTGTACCTCAAACGTATGAGCAATTTCGCACAGTGTATGTTCAGATAAAGGGCGTTCATATTCAGGTAAACGGATTTAAGTCTCCTGCAGTGTTGTAGAGTGAGGAAGATAAAACATCTCCTTCACATGAAAGGGTTTTCCCCAATGTGCACTCTCAGATGTCTGACAAGGCTCGGTTTGCTGCTAAAACATTTCCGACATTTACTACACTCATGAGGCTTTTCTCCGGTGTGACTTCTGTGGTGGTCCATGAGCGAACGTCTTTGTCTAAAGGACTTTCCACACTCATTACACTCATACGGCTTTTCCCCAGTGTGACTTCTGTGGTGGTCCATGAGTGAACGTCTTTGTCTAAAGCACTTTCCACACTCACTACACTCATACGGCTTCTCTCCGGTATGAATTCTGTGGTGTTTAATGAGGTGCCCCTTTAGTCTGAAGAACTTCCCACAATCACTACATTCAAAAGGTTTTTCACCAGTGTGAATTCTCTTGTGTTCAGAGAGGTGTAAGCTTCTCTTGAAGAACTTCCCACAATCAATACACTCATATGGCTTTTCTTCAGTGTGAACCGTCTTGTGGTTAAGGAGTGTACTACTATTCCTAAAAGATTTTCCACAATCAGTACACTCATAGGGTTTTTCTCCAGTGTGAACTGTCTTGTGGTTTAGGAGGTTATTATTTCTCCTAAAAGATTTCCCACAATCAGTACACTCATAGGGTTTTTCTCCAGTGTGAACTGTCTTGTGGTTTAGGAGGTTATTATTTCTCCTAAAAGATTTCCCACAATCAGTACACTCATAGGGTTTTTCTCCAGTGTGAACTGTCTTGTGGTTTCGGAGGTTATTATTTCTTGTAAAAGATTTCCCGCAATCAGCACATTCATAGGGCTTTTCTCCAGTGTGAACTCTCTTGTGGTTAAGGAGGTTATTATTTCTCCTAAAAGATTTCCCACAATCAGTACACTCATAGGGTTTTTCTCCAGTGTGAACTCTGTGGTGTGAAATGAAATTGGACCTTTGTCCAAAGGACTTCCCACAATCAGCACACTCATACGGCTTTTCTCCAGTGTGAATTATTGTATGTTGAATGAGGTGAACGTTTTGTTTAAAAACATTTCCATATCTGTCACACTCATATTTCATTTCTTCAGCGCAGGCACCCTGATGAACAACTCTCTGGTTGTTGCTGCCAAATATTCCACAGTTACAAGTCTGCTGAAGACTTTTTCCACCAAGATATTCCTGTGAAATCTCACTGCCACTGTTTGGCTCCTCAGTGTCGAGAGGAGCCTCGTGCTGGAGAAGCTCTGACGTGGCTGGGAAGACTTCCCCAGCCTCCCTAATGCTTAAAGGCACCCAAGGTAAGTAGAAGCTGGACCTGGTCACAAACGAGGCCCTGTCCACAGCTTCTTTCCAGGGCTTCTCTCCACTGGCTTCCCTCTGCTGCTGGTGAGGGTTTGCACTGAAACAGAAGTCTCTCAAACATGTGTCACTGAAGAAGGCTTTCTGCTCAAAGTCTGCGACTTGTGACTCAGTCAGGTGCAGAATGTCTTTGATCATTGAGAAACAGCGCTCACACAGATGGGTCCTCTGGGTTGCTGGGGCTGTCTTAGGAGCCCTGACCTGTGACTCTCCATGTACAGATACACTCTGCTCAGAACAGGCCTCCTCTCCATCCGTTTTATGCCAACAACCTAAAAAAAAGAAATGTGAAGGAACTGATTGTTATCTGTCGTGACAGGAGAAGTTCCATTGCAAATGTGCTTTGCACATAATACATGGGTTCCATTGAATTGTCTGAAAATAAGAGAGGTGCAGGAAGGATCAATAAGAAGCTTCTGTGAAGGTCGCAAAACAGGGAAGTCCTCACCAGAAATATGACCCATTCATGGCAAGGACCACATGGAAGAGAAGATGGATCTCAAGCTCAGCCTCCTGCTAACAGTGCTGAGCAGGGCTGGTCTGCTAATGACAGGGGCAAGCTTTGAAGAAGGCTGGTTATGTCTGCTTCCAAGTAAAATTCAATAAATAAATAGCAGGTGTTTGAGGACTACATGAGCATTTATGTACACCTCGTATCACATGTGCAGGTCCATGTAGAGGAATACTGCACAGGGAGCAGTGCAGAGGGGGAGGTGATGCAAAAATGTGACAAAGGTTAAGGTAGCCATAAGCCAGGAAGTCACAGATAAAATGCGCGTCAGCAAAGTGTGAAGTATGGGAAAGAGAGGGTAGAAATGGGGGTAGCCAGTGCCACCTGCCCCTAAAACACTGTGGGAAATTACCTGGTTCCTGTTATCAACTCACCACCACCATTATGTCATACCTTCCCCCAAGCTGTCACTCAGCAAGGCCAGACCTCCTCTGAGAACCTCTTGCATGTTCACCCTGTGAGGAAACCAGGTTTCTCCCTGATCTTCTACTCTACCGATGCATAAACCCTAACTATTCCAAGTATTAATGAAAGACAACGGAGGAGAGCAGCCAGCTCTGGCCCAGAGCACTTTGGCCCACAGCAGTACTCAGCTAAGGTAATATTACAAAGAACAACTGGAGAAGCGTCTTACAGGAACAGCCCATGGTTCATGGAAGTGAAGAACATAACCTGGCACAGGCTGCCATAAAGCACCTTTCCCTAGAGGAAGAGGGAAGAAGTGAATAAATGTGGGTATTGTCACCCTCCCAGGGAGAGGAAGAGGAAGGTGGGACCCATTCAGTTGCCCGTAAGACTCCCGATTCCCAGACACTTTCTACACTTTTTGAGATAATGGGTGTCAGGGATGTTCCTGGAGTCTATTGGTCAGGGCTCTCCATACAGCTCAACACTGGCAACCACAGAATATCTGACAAGACAGTGGCGGAAACTAGCAGTGCCCGTGGTCTGCCTGTGGGAGAGAGAAAGCTATGTTTTGAGAATAAAGGAGGAGAAGAAATCACCTCAGGACACTGGGAGAATGTGAAGCTCTTACCTGCAGATGAGACCAGAGCAAACACTTCCAGCATTACATCGCAGTACAGAAGTCTCTGAGCCTCATCAAGGAGCCCCCACTCCTCCTGAGAGAAGGCAATGGCCACGTCCTCAAAGTCCATATCCTGTCATAATGGGGACAGTTCAGTCCATGATCAACTTCTCTCCTAGGCTTTACTTTCGTCATACTTCCCACTCTCCACATCCATCCGCTCCCTCCTCCCTCATCACAGAAAATAGCAGGCCTTGCATCCATCAGAGTCACTCTCTCCTTATATTCCTGCTGATACTGTGTCTTCCCACAGCAATAAAGCAGATGCCCAGACTGATTATACCTGATCTCAGGGCCTCACATTTAGGGTCAACACAATGGGTGTCACCAACACAGGGGACAGATAAATGTTGGCCATAAAGAGAGATGTGAGTGATTGGACACTGGTCCTGAGGGGCAATATCCTTGTTGTCCAACACATTCTCCCTCCAAGACCCTGAAAAACATGGCATCACTCAGCACCCTTTCGATTCCAGTCCTAGGGTGCTGAGGGCAACACTTTGCACTTCCTGTTCCACATATTTCTTCCTATCCCACTTCTCTCATGGACCTTCATTCCCAGAGTCACTACTTAAAGAAAACACATACAGGCCATGAAGAGGAGGGGATGTTTTCTAATCACCTTCTTTTCAACATTCTAATGCACCCCCCACCCCGTAATGTATTTATCTCTCCCCCTTCCCCCTTCCCCAAGCCAGTAGAGATTTTCAAGCCCAGATGACAATGATGTCTGTTATCCCATTCCTATTGATCACTGTATCCGCCCAACAACCACAGGCAGGTGTGCACCTATATGACACCTAAATTCCGGACCTGGTATGTAGTGCCACAACACCCGTCTTTTCAGGAATTACCCTAAAATTGCCCATGTAGTTATCATTCAGTTATCACCAGAAATGGACTCAACCTTCATTACTTCTTTGTCAATATCAAGGATCTGTGGCCATGAATTCACACTCCCTCTCCAAGAGCACATCACTCCTTCTCCCACACCTCTCTCACACGTGCAGTCCCGTGGCCCCAGCTCCCATAGACATCTCCCTGGTCTTAGTCATTACTCAGCATGTGTGTTCCAGAGACTGCATGGCAAGTTCAAACAGTATCATGTAATAACCTGGCTCTCATTGCCCACACCCAAGACCCTGCCTTCAGTTCTGCTATGAAGGCCTCCCTCCCAACTTGTTTTTTCCTTCAACCTCACCTATTGAGAACCACATCAGATCTCAGTTACCCAGAGCCCACCTCTACTGTTGCTGCACTTGATGTCCCTTCTCCACTCACAGGCTTCAGTACTCAAGTCTCACAGCCTATGGCCCTCTACCCCATGCACAGTGAGTCTCACAGATGTCCCCTCTTGTCCATGAGCAAATCAAACAAACTGAATGCAACACACCAGGCCACACAAATGGTCACAAGAAATCCTGGTGAGTGTTTAAGAAGTAAATATGCCCCAGCCACAGTCTCACCTTCTTTGAATTACTCTTCTACCTCCATAAAAAAAAGAAGGTGATCCACAACTCCTCCCTGGTCCATATTCTTTACTATTTTTTTAAGTAGTCTTCATCTTGAACTATTCCTCAGAGTTCCAGATGGTCATGAATTGGTCTCTGAAATATGTCATACACTAATAGGAAAATATAAAAGATTTTATGTTCCTCATGGACATAACTTTTCCCACTATGAATTTCTCCATCTCAGGTGATGCTTTCATTCCTTCAGGTGCTAAACCCAATCCTTCACATCATCTCTGATTCTTACCTCTCTCTACGATCCTCAAAATTAGGAAATCCAGGTGGCCACAGCTAAAACCCTGATCAATATGCAACTGCTCCTTCCACACCCACAACCACCACTGTGCTCCAGGTACCCTCACACTCACCAGCACTATCACAGCAGCTTCCGTCCTGGGCTTCCTACCACCGTCCTCACACCCATCCTGTGCATCAGGCTGCAGCCACAGGGAGTCTAATGAGACCCGGGACAGGTCACCTGCTCTACTGCTCCCATGACCCCAATGACCCCATCACCAGCAGAACA